CTGGCGGCTGTGCTCACTTGGGCTATGTCTACACTGGCAGGTTCTTGCGCGAAAAATATGCAAATGAGGTTTGCGCAATGCCGTTATATATATAGTAGCCCAATGTCTGAGAGTCTGTAACACTGAAATGCTGGCTGTTCCCTCTGGGCGGCGCTGTTACTGAAATGCTGGCTGTTTCCTCCGGGCGGCGCTGTTACTGAAATGCTGGCTGTTCCCTCTGGGCGGCGCTGTTGCTGAAATGCTGGCTGTTTCCTCTGGGTGGCCCGTGCTGCATGGGGAGTATGGGGCCCAAACGGCCGCTTGCTTCCCTGCCGCGGCCCAGCTGAGTGGCGCAAAAGTCAGCTGAGCGCCATGGTGGGAGGGGAAGAGGGGCGGGGTGGTGATGTACATGGCCAGGGGGTGGGGCCTGGCCATGTACGTCACTGCCTCGCCCCCCTTCACCTCCCGCCATGGCGCTCGGCTGACTTCTGCGCTGCTCAGCTAGGCCAGCGCAGGGGAAAATAATCAGCGTAGCGGCATTGCGCAAAAGGGCTTTTCTCGCGCAAGAAGGGGCAGTGTTGACAGCTCCTGGCGCAAGAGCCTCTTCTGAAAAAATGGTGGCTCATTGGATATGCAAACACTTAGCCTCATTTGCATATTTCTGGCACAAGAACCCACCAGTGTAGACATAGCCACAGTGTGTGAGAGTGACAGAGATTTGCTTTGCCAAGCTCTCTCCCTATCCCGCTCTCTCTGTGTGGAGATGGGGTACAGGGTGGGGAAGGGGGGACACCCTGACATCAGCACCTGCCTCTCCTCTCTCCCTCACCCTGTACAGCAAGGAGGAGGCTCCCAGGGGACCAGCTTCAAGGCAAAAGGCAGGAGCAGCACGACTGGGTATAGGGGCAACTAAAGTGCCAGCACTTGATAAATTCCTGGCCAAACCAGTCAGGATCACCTGTCAGAGGCTCCAAGATCTACCTGTAGATCCCGATCTACTGGATGGTGACCACTGGCATAGGGGAAACTGAGGCACCCACACAGTATTCAGAGAAAACATTAAGAACATTCCCACTTCGTCACAACAGGTACAACAAGATTTAAGTGGTTGGAGTACAATAGCAAATTAAACAGAGCTTTTTGCTCAGTCTGCAAAAACTGTTCTGAAAAGAAGATTTTAATATTTTCTACGAAGGCTGAACCAACATTTATTTCGTCTGGATTTCAAGATTGGAGACACGCATTGTGTGGTTTTACATCACACGAAAAATCCTCCGGTCACAAGGAAGCGGTAATGAAGTATGTTGCTCTGCAATCACAGGTAAACGTTTCTGCACTAATGTCGGCCAGTTACAGAAAAGAATCACAATCAGCTAGGACTGCACTGCACAACATTTTTACCAGTGTTCAGTACCCAGCTCAACAAGGAATAGAATTACGTGGACATAATGAGAGTCATTCAAATTTGATGCAGCTCTTGTTGCTACGCAGTACAGATTCTAAGGAACTGAGACAGTGGCTTAATGGCACAAAATACAATTGGCTGTCACATGAGGTTATTAACGAAATAATCGAAATGATGGCAATGATGGTGCTAAGAAAAATTGTGCAAAAGATAAAGACTTCTAAATTTTATGCCATTGTAATGGATGAGACTACCGATTTGTCAAGAAAAGAACAAGTACGTTTTTCTTTAAGGTTCTTTTCTACTGAAGACTGGGAGATTTATGAGGAGTTTATTGGGTTTTAGGAAACTGACACAATGGATGCTGTTTTCTTTTCAAAATTGTGGAAGATATACTTCTCAGGTGTGATTTGCCCTTTTCGGATTGCCGGGGCAGTGTTATGACGGAGCCAGAAATGTGTCCGGCAAATTTACTGGGATCCAAGCCAGAGTGAAGGATCGAGAGCCGAGAGCGGAATTTGTGCACTGTGCTGCACGTTCCCTTAACCTTGCCACGCAGGATGCCATGCATAATATTCAAGAATGTCGTCATATGTTTTTGATGGTGAAAGAGCTCACCAATGCCTTCAGGGAGTCACCAAAACGTATGGCCAGCATTCAGAGAGTTTCAGAGAGAAGAACAAACCATCCAAAATACAGGACTATGTAGCACTTTAAAGACTAACAAAATTGTTTATTAGTCTGTAAAGTGCTACATAGTCCTGTATTTTGGATGGATTTAGTCAGTCTTCAGGTGAATTTGACTTAAAATGTAGTGGATTCTCAAAGCAACTTCAATCTTTTTCAACGTACTTCAGACTAACAGTTCTTGTGAAATCCATGGGTCCTGTAGAAGAAGTTAATGCAAAAATTCAAAGCCCAAACATGTCATTGGCAAGCATTATGAAGAAAGCTGGCCTGTTGCAAGAGGTGTTGAGTGAGATGCGCACTGACTCATCATACAACCACTTCTGGGAAACAACAGTAGAGAAGCAAGAAATCTTTATTTAGATGATCCTACACTCCTGAGAAAACGCAAGTCACCAAGATGGCTTGACCATGGAAGCCTTTCTCACACCTTCAGTGACCCCAAAGAGTATTTTCATCAAATATATGTTGGGATCATTGATGCTTGCAAAGTTGCCATTGAACAGAGGTTTCCAACAGAAAGCTTTACATTCGCAGTAAAATTGGAGAAGCTTATAACTGAGGCAGCAAATGGCTTGAAACAGGACATGTCCCAATAAGTGAAGCTTTCCATGGTGACATTAACACGGCGAAGCTATTTCTTCATTTAGAAATGTTGAGTGATATTTGCAGATCGAGAAATTGCCAGCTTAATTCGGTGACCAAAGTGAAGCAATTTCAAAAACAAAACGAAGGCTTGAGTGACATGTTGTCAGAAGTTACAAGTCTCCTGAAATTATTCTACACAATTCCGACTACAACCTGCCCCGCTGAGCGATCATTCAGTTGCTTGCGCCAACTGAAAAATTATTTGCGAACGACAATGGGCCAAGAACATCTAAATCACTTGGCATTTCTGCACGTTCATAAGAACTTTACCTCTGAATTGGACATTGCAAGTCTCCTGGATGACTTCATTTCAAGAACCAAACAATGACGAAAAGTGTGGCCAGGAACGTCTAAATCACTTGGCATTTCTGCACGTTCATAAGAACTTTACCTCTGAATTGGACATTGCAAGTCTCCTGGATGACTTCATTTCAAGAACCAAACAATGACGAAAAGTGTTTGCTGCCTCCTGGGCTACGTCTACACTGGCCCCTTTTCCGAAAGGGGCATGCTAATTTTAAACTTAAAACCCGCGGGATTTAAATAAAGATGTCCGCCGCTTTTTTCTGGCTTGTAGATAAGCCGGAAAAAAGCGTCTAGATTGGCGCGATCCTCCTGAATAAAGCCTACTTTGAAGTAGGAATAAGAGATCCTCCGGAATAGAGCTTTATTCCGGAGGATCGCGCCAGTCTAGACGCTTTTTTCCGGCTTATCTACAAGCCAGAAAAAAGCAGCAGACATCTTTATTTAAATCCCTCGCGGATTTCCCTATTCTGAAGTTTAAAATTAGCATGCCCCTTTCGGAAAAGGGGCCAGTGTAGACGTAGCCCTGAAGAACATTGCAAAAGAAGGGGCTATATTTGTTTTAATTTTAGAAATCATTTGCTTTTGAGTTGTTTCCATATTCGAAAGAGTATTAATAACATTGATATTCTTAGTTAAATAATTTTTTCTTACAATAGTGATATTGTGCAATAAAGGGAAACTGTTTAACACTTACGGTTTCCAGTCCATTTTTACATTATTTAATAAAATATATATCAGCTTACAGAGCGGGTGAGTGGGCGGAGGGGCGGGGGGACTAGACCCATTCTGGGCACCACCAAAAATTATACAAACCTGCCGCCCGTGGCGCCAGGTGGTGTAAGAAATGGAGCAGGTTGCAGAGCATGGCCTGGGCAAACTCCAGGTCCCAGCATGCAATGCTCCACCTGCTCTCACAGAGCCAACCTGCATTGCTGGGGGTGGGGCTGGACACCAAAAATTATACAAACCTGCCGCCCGTGGCGCCAGGTGGTGTAAGAAATGGAGCAGGTTGCAGAGCATGGCCTGGGCAAACTCCAGGTCCCAGCATGCAATGCTCCACCTGCTCTCACAGAGCCAACCTGCATTGCTGGGGGTGGGGTACTCATAGAATCATAGAGCTGAGGCAGTTGTGCTTCTCCCTTGCTTCAGTTCCAAGTGTGTCTTAAAAATCCTGCACAAGAGGCTGGGGTGGCAGGTGGAGCTCCATGTCTGGAAGGCTAGCCCCAGCTCTGCCCTTTCTGTCCCCCTCCATGCTGGAGACCCGGGACCAGAGCCCCAAGACCCCCTCTGCTGTAAGTGACTCCTGCCAGGGTGGTTTGGTTCTCATTTGTTCTCTGTTCAGGCTGCGCTGACATCACCTTTGCAAGCTTTGGTGTCCTGGGGATCCCCAGTCCCACCCAGACCAAGCACTCAGGAAGCTCCCCTAGACCTAGTACAGCCATCCCCTCCCCCGCGATGCCCCACAGTGAGTGCCCGGCACACACCTGCTCTTATGAAAGCTCCTTTTATTGCATGTTGGGAGGTGGGGGTCACGGAGAACAGGAGCATAAACAGCAAAGAGGTTCTTGGTGCACTGGCACTGGCAAGTGTAGGGAGCAGGGGACACTGGGGAGAGTGGGGGTGCTAGGTCTAGGGTGGCTCAAATGTGGGATCTGGAGGGTTTGGGCCGTCCCAGATGCTGGGTCTGGGATAGGTTGGGGGGTCCCAGACACTGGGGCTGAGGGAGGTTGGGGGTCCCGGACACTGGATCTGAGGGAGTTGTGGGTCCTGGGAGCTAGGTCTGGCTAGCGCTGAATGGGGGGCTCTTGGGCTTGGCACTGGTGCTGTCCAACTGGCGCCCATGGATACGGTTGATCAGGGAGAAGTAGTCATCTGTGGGGACAATGGGTGCATCTGGAGACACCATGACAGGAGGGGCTTCCGGACGGGTCGGCTCCTCGCCCTCCTGCAGGGGCAAACAGAAATGTCAGTGGTGCCCCCAATGCCTGTCCAGTCACCCCCACACACCTCATCCCCACTGAGCAGGCCCAGTCCCACTTCCCAATCCCTGCCCAGCAGGTCTACCATGCACACACACATACCATCCCCTCCCCATAGGCCTACACCCACCCTCCCACACCGTCCCCTCCCCATAGGCCTACACCCACCCCTACACACCGTCCCCTCCCCATAGGCCTACACCCCCACACACATCCCTTCTACATAGGCTTACACCCCGCCCCCATATACCATCCCTTCCTCATAGGCCTTCTTCTCCCCTCCCCCACAACCATTCCCTCCAGCAGGCCTACACCACCCCGCAGTGTCCTCACCTAGCAGACCTAAGTTCTCCCTCCACACGTCATCCCCTCTTTGTAGGCCTACACTGCACACACACCATCCCCTGTGCAGCAGGCCTACGCCCACCCCCTCACACCATCCCCACTCAGCTTGATTGCGCCACCTGATCCCTGCCCTGGAGGCCTATCCCATGACATGGGGGGGCCTGCAGCCGGGGCAGATGCCAGCTCTTATCCATGCTGCGGGCATGTGCTAGGAACTGACTAGATCATAGATGGAGACCAGATCAGGTCACTGGCATGTTGCTTTGCTTGATGGCGATTCGTAAGACTAGGGGTTAGACTCTGAGGTGCTTGGCAGTTACAGCTGCATCCCAGGCTATAAGATATGTACTGCCCCCCTCCCGCCCCGCATGGTGGACATTGGCTTACGGATATGAATATGCATGACTTGAAGACGCTTTATGCAAAACCATTCATGTAACCCATCGATCTGAATGTTACAATGTGCTGAACGGGCGTCTCCCAGTCCGCCATGGCTCAGTCCTGTGTGTGACGTTAGCGTTATGAAGTGCGGCTCTGCTCACAGCTCTGCATGTGCTAACGAGGGCCGTTACTGATGCTCTGAACCTCAATGACTCAGTACTCGGACCAAGGACCTGGGGTTTGTCCTAAAAGCCTGAACCGTGGTTGGTCCTAGAAAGACACGTGAGCATGTGGGATGGGCCTCTGCCCCGCACGGCCCTACCAGGGTTAGAACCAGTGGCGGGAGCTGGGTGGGAGGCAGCCGCAGGTGGGGCTGCAGATAATTCAGGCCCAGCTGGGTTTGCATAACTAGAGGCTCCTGGTGCGGTAGGAAAGAGATGCTCTGGCTGCAGCTGTGGAGCAGGAGGGACCTGACTGCAAGTAGGCCAGAGAGGGCACCTGAGACTGAGCAGGGCTGGGGAGCTCAGGCCAGCCCCTCCTCCTGGGCTACAGGGCCTGCCACAGGGCCCGAGGGCACTAGGGCTGCAGGGAAGCAGAGGGAGCCCCCTGCCAATGAAGAGTGGCCATGGCAGACTGCAGTTGGCCCCTGAGGCAGGGGCTAGGTGACGACATTGAGGCAGGGTGGGTGGGGTTCCCTGGGACGGGAGGACCCCAGAGTGCAGGGCCACAGCCACAGAACCGGACCCTGAGAGGACTGGGAGGGACATGGGTCCTGAGATGAGGTGGGGGAGAACAAACAGGTAACAGCAGTGGAGAAACCAGCAGGAGGAGGGCGCTCTGGGGCTGAAACGAGCTGATTCCCCAGCAGCATGTCTGTGCCACCTTGGTGCCAAGGGCTGCTCCACCACAACAACGGCAGGGGGGGAGCCACTGGGGGGCGCTGTTACACAGCCTGACACGTGTTGCTTGAGCAGCCTGCAGACTTGGCAGACACCTGGTTGTTGTTGGCATGTGTGTGAATGAGGCACCTTCTTTGCAGGGAGCTGTTGCAAATAGTTGGAGAACATGTACCCAGCCTGGCTCTCCCCAACTAGCCTCCATGCTTGGGCCAAGCTCCTCCCTGGGCACTGGGGTCTGGTTGAGATCCTGGATTAGCCTGCATGCTGTTTGGGACCACCCCTGCTCCAGGGCTAGGTCAAGAGTGTGGGTAAGCGGGAGTGTAACGAGATGTGTAGCTAAGCACTTACACTAAGAAGTGTTTCCCAAATGGAGTCCCATGCAACCCCGGGGTTCCGCAAAGTGAAAAGAAGAGTTCCGCGAGAAAATTCCATTGCAATAACATTTTATGATTGAAAAGAAATAATATTTAAGCATTTATGAATTTTATTGAAAACAATTTTCATTTGTGTTTGCCCCGGTAAGTGTCCCTATGTAATGCCAGCTTAGCCAGAGAGTGGGGATGATGATGTCACTACTCAGCGCTGCGCGCAGTCAGTGGTGCGATTACATACTGCTGTAAATCCCCGCACTCACTCTCCATGGTCTGTATAAATCCCCACACTCACTCTCCCTGGTCTGTATAAATCCCCACAGTCACTCTCCGTGGTCTGTATAAATCCCCACAGTCACTCTCCGTGGTCTGTATAAATCCCCACAGCACTCACGCTCAGTGGTCTGTATAAATCCCCGCACTCACTCTCCGTGGTCTGTATAAATCCCCGCACTCACGCTCAGTGGTCTGTATAAATCCCCGCACTCACTCTCCGTGGTCTGTATAAATCCCCGCACTCACTCTCCGTGGTCTGTATAAATCCCCGCACTCACTCTCCGTGGTCTGTATAAATCCCCGCACTCACTCTCCGTGGTCTGTATAAATCCCCGCACTCACTCTCCGTGGTCTGTATAAATCCCCGCACTCACTCTCCGTGGTCTGTATAAATCCCCGCACTCACTCTCCGTGGTCTGTATAAATCCCCGCACTCACTCTCCGTGGTCTGTATAAATCCCCGCACTCACTCTCCGTGGTCTGTATAAATCCCCGCACTCACTCTCCGTGGTCTGTATAAATCCCCGCACTCACTCTCCGTGGTCTGTATAAATCCCCGCACTCACTCTCCGTGGTCTGTATAAATCCCCGCACTCACTCTCCGTGGTCTGTATAAATCCCCGCACTCACTCTCCGTGGTCTGTATAAATCCCCGCACTCACTCTCCGTGGTCTGTATAAATCCCCGCACTCACTCTCCGTGGTCTGTATAAATCCCCGCACTCACTCTCCGTGGTCTGTATAAATCCCCGCACTCACTCTCCGTGGTCTGTATAAATCCCCGCACTCACTCTCCGTGGTCTGTATAAATCCCCGCACTCACTCTCCGTGGTCTGTATAAATCCCCGCACTCACTCTCCGTGGTCTGTATAAATCCCCGCACTCACTCTCCGTGGTCTGTATAAATCCCCACACTCATGCTCAGTGGTCTACTTTTTCAGCTCCCTATATAAGACTGTTGTTAGGGGTTCCGCATTTGCCCAAGCAGGTTCCCCCAAGTGCAGTCCAGTCTAGTCAGCCTGCGGCCTTTGGCATAGACTGTCTGGCAGTCTCAGGGCACTACGCTCCACTTGCCCTGGGGCAGGAGTAGAAACCTGACAGCAAATGGCAGGCGCAGGAGCAGGGGCATGAGAGCTGTAAGCTGGCCTGGAGGGGCAGGTCCATCTGGCAGGCTGGGCCAGGCCTTGGTCTCTCACCGCCAGATCCCCCAGCACCACGTTTTCTGTCCTGCCTCTGGCTTTGGCCCGGATTTGAAAGAAAGCTCTAAGGCTTTGCCCTCAGTGGGCCTGTCCCTGCAAGTGCCCAGCCCATAGGCTCAGTTCTGTGTAGCCTGATTCTGGGACGAGCACCTGACGGCCTCCTGATCCCTGGGCGATCAACACCAGTCCTATTAACCATGGGAAAGGGTCAGGCAATGCCCCAAGGGGCAGGCAGCTGGGGTGGGAGAGGCAGAGAACCGAGGAGTTGCCCCCACCTGCACCCTGCAAACCCCCTAGCATGGGTCTTTGGGGGCAGGGGGCCCAGGGGCCCTGCTTTCCCTCTCACCGAGCCAGACCCTGCCTGGGTCCCATGGTGCCTAGTGCAGGAGGGCATTACAGCCCTCGGCAGCTGCCTCGTGTCCTCTGCACACACGGCAGCCCTGCCCACATCCTCATGTGCTGACTGGCACTGCTGGCATTGCCAGAGCACCCCACAATGCTTCCACCCCTGGGCCAACCTCTCTGCTTGACACCCCCATGGGGCACCCAGCTTTCACCCTGCCAGACAGGCCCCCCAGCTCACCCTCCGGCCAGACCCCACCTCCAACACCCATCTTCCCCACTGCCAGGTTCTCACGGACACCTAGCATGCCTCCTCCCTTCCCCTCTGCCCCGGCCTCTGCTGCCTCAGGCAAGTCACCCACTAGCTGGTGCCTCTCCTTACACACAGATGATTCGTCCCTGTACACAGTAGATCATTAAACAATTGGCATAACAGTTTCACAGAGTGCGACACAGCCTGGGCAGCGCTTCGGAGCAGGAGCGGATTCCAGAGCACAAGGCTGGCCCAGCGAAGGGGTCTGACCGTAGGAGGCATGGCCAGAGGTGGGAGGGGGAACAGGCCATTTCTGGCAGAGCAACCCAGCTGGCCTGGTCAGGCCAGGGGCAGAGGACCAGCACGTTTTGTGTGTGTGTGTGTGTGTTCCTTCTGCTCTTATTCGTCCAAGTGTGTGTGTGAGAGAGAAAGAGGGTTCCCTCTACTCTCATACTGTCATGTGTGTGTGCACATGTGTGTGAGATACCTCTGCTCTGATATCTCACTGCACTTATACCCTCTTTGGCTACGTCTATACTGGCACCCTTTTCTGGAAATGCTTAAAACAGAACAGTTTTCCGTTATAAGTATTTCCGGAAAAAGCGCGTCTACATTGGCAGGATGCTTCTCCGGAAAAGCACTTTTTCCGGAAAAGCGTCCGTGCCAATGTAGATGCGCTTTTCCGCAAAAAAGCCCCAATCGTCATTTCACTTATACCCTCTTTGGCTACGTCTATACTGGCACCCTTTTCTGGAAATGCTTAAAACAGAACAGTTTTCCGTTATAAGTATTTCCGGAAAAAGCGCGTCTACATTGGCAGGATGCTTCTCCGGAAAAGCACTTTTTCCGGAAAAGCGTCCGTGCCAATGTAGATGCGCTTTTCCGCAAAAAAGCCCCAATC